ACGCAGTAACGTGTTTAAAAGAAAAATCTTGTACTAGGTCCTCAGGCAACACAAACAGATCAACAAAGCAAAACGTATCGATTGACGCATTCACCGGCTTTCTATACCCAACTGACGAATGATTAATGATTGCTCTCACTGAGTTTATCAAAGTATATCCCGATACTGTATTTGTGGTTATCCTGTTTCCCGTTTGCTATAAAATTCGGATTTTTCCCGGATATGAAAAAAGGTGAGATTTTATTATGTGGTTTCTGTGTGTGTTTGGTAAACTGTGGTCGTTTTTGTTTCTTTTATAACATAACATAACATAACATCACGCCTTTCATCCCCGAAGGAGTAGGCAGAGATGCATATTACGGCACTTAATTCCACTGTACAATGTAACACCCACTTTTCACTTTTTATGTCATGAGTCCCATGTAATAGGGGGTGAGCCTATTGCTATATACCGGGCACATTTCCAGACTCCGTGTTAACTACTGAGATTTTTGAAAACCCAGTAATACTTTGCCCGGCCCGAGAATCGAACCCGAGACCCCTTGCCCGGCAGTCGCATTTGCGACTACTCGGCCGACGAGGCAGTCAAAGTTCTTTTATAAACCCACATAATATAGATTACAGAAGTATATAATTATTTCTTAACGAAACTTTTTTATATCAACAAAACATTTTGTTAACATTTTAGAAAATAATAAGACATGTTTTTTTTTTAATTCTTTGCAACTAACAAGTGTTGCAAAATGCCAAGCGTTATAAAAAGTTGTCGAGGAAGCTACAGACTGCTTTATCGAGTTTCAGCTCGTACAAAAGCTATTATTTTAAACTTGAGGACAGCCATTCTAAATAGTTCAACTGCATGGACATTCAGACGTAAAACTCATTAAAAGTTGGGAAGAAGTTATGTTTTAAATAGCAATCTCTTACGCATTCTCTCTCTTAATACATGTAACTTTTTATCTCTAGGCTAGGATTCCAATTGTAAAATTCAATATCACTTTGCCAATTTTATAGAAGTCGTATCGTAACATCAAAAAGCCTTGTCCACGTTAGCAAACCTATACATAATTCAATACTTAAAAAAAACAAAGGAATCGACAGAACAATTGAAAGCTACAAACGTAATCGAAATTCAAGCGTCCGAAAAATTCGTTCATTGTTTTTGAAGCTGTGAAGCAGTATTAAGTAAATCGCCGGCAACAATTGCTGACTTTCACAGGCAGACAAGAATGCTTCAGATATATATTATTGGATTATTTTCTGGGCTACAAACGAACAAGGTTTTCGGGTCAAGAGTTGCGGCTTCGAGTGCGCGTGCTCCGGTCGGCAGCTGGTCGTTACGCGTACCAATGTTTACAAATCACAAAATAGCAGAATTATGCTCTCTGTTCGCTTCACAGTCATATTGCCTGGTAATGAATTGACGAAAACCTATTTCCAATGGTCACTGATTTCCAGCAAACGCAATTATTGCAAATGGAAATATTTGGTAATAATGTTGATAATGCTGCTGTATAGCGTCAAAATTTGAGCACATAATGTACTCGTAGTCCAGTAAATTAATGAACGTCAATTATTATTTATCATGGTATTGAAATTATTTATATGAAATTCCTAGTAGCGAGTTGATTTAATGTTACGTACAACGAAATAAAATAAAACAATAATGCAACAAATGTGTTAATCATAGTAAAAGTTTCGATTTAAAATTTATAAGCAATTTTTGTTAAACGTTTATCCAATTCTCGGAATGGCCACTTACTGGAATTCATTATCGAAATCTGATCGAAAGAGATTGTCCCTGATACCTACTCTTATCGCTTCACCCGTTAAAATTTCCCAACCTACTTTAGATACATTCTATCTTCTGAATTTTCCTCAAATCTTAAAGCAATGCAATGAATCCTAATTCTTAATGGTCTGATAAAAATCTTATTTATTTGCTCACCTTCGTTGTAGGTATCTTATAAGGCGTGGAGTTATTTAGCAGGTAAAATTAATGAAGAGATTAAGCAATGAATATTCATGATTTGTATTACATTAAGTGTTCAGAATTTCAGGTAGTTTTGATATTTAGGTAGAGGTACATCAGATTAGCAACATCCTAATTCAGGTTTTGGTTCATTTATTTACTTAATAAGTTTCATCGTCCTCCAGACAGTAGTTCTTCGATTCCAGTTTTACAAAACGGTGTTTATAGTAGATAAAATGTTAAACCAAGCATTGAAACCATCCGCTATACGTAATCCGAATCAAAAATAAAATAAAAAACAAAATAACATCGTCGAAGAGAAAAGAAAATCCGAGAGTAAAATGATAAATTTTATTAAAAAATAATTGGAATACCTCACCATTCATACAGAAGCAATTACGCAAATATCATCATAACGGGAATATGCGAAAGGAATCCGCAACAGATAACGTATTCTACAGAGCATTATAAAAGTAAAAAGGTCGCCATTACCTTTTACACCCTTCCATTCGGGCGGAAAATATCGTGGACCGAAAAATTCAATAATATAAAGTTGTCGGACGAAATGTGAGCGTACAGAGATAAGATCGGGTGATTTCTACGTGATTTGTCGCGAAGAGATGGGATGCTGCTACCATGACGCTGATCTATTGTGATCGAGAACCCGAGGGTCGTTCTAACTGAATATTATCCGACAGCCAACCGCTCGTGGTTCCGAGTTTCCGTGGTATCGAAGAACGTTTCGATTTCTTTATTGAATATTCTTCTTGTTAGTGTAAAGGTGTACCAAATTGTGGTATATGGATGATGATGTCGGTATGAATTTGCGCAATAATTTATAGGAAATGTAAGGCAGAGATTGCATTGCAATGGTACAAATTAAATAACGATTAATACCTTTATCTTGCATTCTTTGCTCTAATCGACTTGTAACTGTAAATTGGATGTAGTTTATATTTAACTGTTTGAAAACCAAATATTGTCATACGCTATACACCTTCCCAATAATACAAAATTTAAAAATAAATTCATTTACATGCATAAAATTCTATTTGAATTTTAAACTAAGCTACCCCTAGTCGAGTCTACTAGAAATAAAATGGCATAAATAGAAAATACAGCCAACATTGCCATTCCACGTTCATGCATACAAGTTCTGAATTCAAATGCAACGAAATTCACCTGTAGCTGAAAAAATAATTTTAGAAAATTGAACTGCAAATAGTTTAGCTGGAAATAAAGTCGTCTTCGTTTTCCGTTGGTCTGGAAGCAAATAAAGTCGTGTGCGACTCCATTCTTAAGGAGATCAAAATTACCACGAGGCTGTCCACTGTATGCCTGCAACGAATATTAATCTATTTTAGCCACATTGAAACCCCGACAATCAGGAGAAGCTGGTTGTTGTTGGTCAGGTTAACGGGAAAAGACGTTTATCTAGATAGCTAGATGCTGTAAAAGACCTCATCGGCCTGACAGTTCCACTAGCTGTAAAGACCCCAGATAACAGGGGCTCTTGGAGGAGGGTTGTGCATCAAGTGACGTGTGCATCAGACTAGACACGACCTTTAGTAATCAAGACAACGACTAAGAAGAACATTGTGTAACTGACCCGATAGTAATAGTACAAATTAATTACCTGTATTTACTAATTGCTTACTATTTATTTATCCAATTGGTTGGTATTTATTTTGTTTGTTAATTTGTATGTAGTTATTAACGCACAAAGCAAATATGGCAATTAAAAAGCAAACATAATTTTCACTCTGATTACCTATCTACCTTATTACCTACCTAAATTTTTGACAATTTCCATATTGCAACCTAAGTAACTGGTAAAATAAAAATAAAATAACTGGCGAAAACATTAAAAAATGTTTATGAGACCCGGGGTTTTGTACTCGATTTAAGCGTGGAAGAGCCATGCTTCGGCACTAATGGGCCGGCTCAACTGGAGTGGTACCACGGCCCCATAGAAAAACGACGTAAAACAACGCTTACGTTGTGTTTCGTCGTGTAAGTGAGGTTACCGGAGGCCAAATTACCCAGCAAATTCCCAATTCCCAAAAAGCCGGCAACGCACTTGTAACGCCTCTGGTGTTTCAGGTGTCCATGGGCGGCGCAGATTGCTTAGCATCAGGTGATTCGTATGCTCGTTTACCTCGGCATACTCAACAAAAAAAATCATTACTTGCGTTTTTAATATAAAAGCAAGACCGAACCTGTAGCAACCTTCACCGTAATGAAATACCTCATTAAACTCGCATGTATGTGCTACTATTCATTATTTCACTAAATGAAGTATTCTTCATAATACTCATTTTCTCTTCATATGAAAATTAATGTTCCTTCAGCATTCGTTTTCCAAGAGACTTCATTGTTAAAGGAGACGGCTCACGTTGCTAATATTGTCATTATATTTATTCTAATAATGTATGTTTACTTGTTATCGACGGATCCTACGTATACTAGTATAAGTGCAAAAACACAACTGTTCAGTAGAGCAGTTTAAAGGATCTAAAGCCTGTAATGTTGTCATAAATCAATGGAAATACTTAAAATTTTGATATATTATATTTGAATATATACAGATAAAGACTACATTATTGGTTTTTCTTATTTTTTTATACTTTAAAAAATAGCATCACTTAAATTGATGTTGCTTGTTTTCTTTACTGTGGTAGAACCTATAAACTGATACAAGTGGCCACTTATACCAGTATATAGTATTTTTGCTTATACTTATAATAAAGGAAACTTGAAGGATTTTACTTTCTTAAAATGTTATTTATAATCTATTGATTAATATGTGTATATAATATTAACAATAAAATCTTCTTTTATCGACTTACAACAGTTATAACAGTTTACTCAGTGCTGAAAAATACTTGCAACTGTTTTCTGCACTGTTATTAAACTAAATATTTAAATTTTTGTGGCAAGAAATGAAACAAAAACATTAAAAATATAAAATAAAAGTTTATTACAAATAAATGACTTTTCCAGACCTATGCATGATAGGTTATTTTGATGTTAATACTCGTATTATTATGGCACTCCGCACTCATAATGAAAAATAAAATCAATGGCCTCATCATTTTGAAAATAATAAAACTAAAATAAGTATCTTCTTAAATTACGTAGGAATTTACGTTAATTATATTGTTTATTTATACTTTAGTTTGTACTTCTTAATCAGTCTTTCGTACTACTTATTATTACGATAATCACAGTAAATAATGGTATAGAAAACCTAATAAAAAAGAAAAACACAACAAAACATGTTGAAAAAAACAACTAAGTTTTTTCAAAAATATAAAGCTAGTCAGAGTCATCTTCTGTATTATCGGTCCGTATCTTCAAATTATTGTAAAATGAATGGTACCGCTCAGGAATCACATTGGACTTGCAAAGATCTTGAAGATCTTTAAATTTTTTTTTGTCTATTGGTAACAAACTCTTGTAAGCAACTTCTAATCTGCTAAGTTTTTTTGAAACATTTTGTATACTGGCTCGTGTATTACTTCTCAAACATTGAATAGTTTTGTAAGCTTCTTCTTCAAACGCATACTTATAATTAAGCATAAATAAATCTTTGGCTTGAACATTGACTTCGCAAACCTTACTCCACATAACAAGTTCCCCCATAGAATTCGTTTTCCAGTTGTCAAAAAAGGGAAGGCAAGACTTAAAATCAAAGACGAAAGATTGAGTTACTTCTCGAACAATATATGGTTTGGCATTAGTTGTCGCCATTTTAAAAGCCAGTATCCACTGTTCTGGAGAATAAATTAAAATATTTCTGGTCTTTCTCTCAATCACTGAGTGGATACTGTCACCCTCATTTTGCGTATGACCAACAACAAGAAACCTATGAGTTATGTTAACGTTAAATTTCCAAGCGCAATACATATACATAAGGAATATGATCCTATTTCGATTTTGACCTCCACAATTATCCGACCAGAATATAAAAGTTTTGACGCCTTGCTGCACCTTCATACGAATAAAATCGAAAACACAGCTGGCTATTTCATTGGCACCTTTTTTAGCAGTCTGTTCATCCCAACAATAACAATAACCTTGCAAATCAGCCATATCAAATGGAGTAAAATTGTGAAAGTGTAATTTTCTTTTATAATAAAAAGTACTAACGTTTCCGTGTGGTAAATTTTGAGTTTTTTGCAAGTCGAAAGTAACAGCAACTACAGTTTTATCTTCCTTAGCCAACTGTTTATTCATCTCTTTTAATTGTCGAGCCCTCTCTTTTTCAGATAAATGCCCATTGTGTTTTGATATTTGTTCATCCGTAGGATTTTGTAAATTTTCAAATGCATGACAAAATTCACATTTGTCCTTTTTAGGAATGTGGAAAGAAAGATTAAAATTTTTATTAATAATATCTCTATATTGCCTTAGCGTTTTAACTTGGCAATTTACGGGAATTGCTTCTTTATTACACCATTCTCTATAATAATTAAACATTCGTGAAAAACTTAATGATCCATCTAAATAAACCTTACTTGTTTCCTTTCTTGTATAGTGAGATTCAACGGGTTGAAACATCTTAACATGGGAGCAAACACTTTCTATAGCAGTCCTGGGTATCTTTATTGGATGATTTGAATGTTTTCCTCTACAATCCTTTTCTATCACACCGAAACCTTTTTCAAACTTGTCCAACGCCGTTTTCACGAAATTATAACTTATAGATAAGGTGTTGAGGAACATGACTTTACAAACATAAACCTTTTCAATGCTACCACTATTTCCTGTCACTGGTAATGAATATCGCAGAGTGCAATTTCTTTGGGAATTTTCAGTAACAACTCGTTTCTTGTCCAGTTTTGAAACATACTTGGCAATAAAGTCCCACTGTCGAGTATGATCTCCTATTTCCCAAAAGTTTCTAAATATTGCGCATCTTGTAGTTTCTTTAATTTTATCAAAACATTTTTTGGGACATTTACATGCGCTTTTTATTTTTTTCTTCTGATGTAATTTCCCCGTTCGACTCATGTACTCTAATCCTCTGTTTAAATTAAACTTGCGTTTTTCATCAAACCACATATTTCGGAATCTTTCTCGCAATCTGCCTTTATCTTTCTTTTTTTGGGGTTTTCTTTGCACACTTGCGGGACTACTTAAAGGTGTATCAGTGTAATCCGAATTTATTAAATTATCAAATTCATCATCAGGTTGTTGGCGAATAGGTGAAAAAGAACGCAATGGCGAAGGCATTGGTGTTAAGCTTTCAATTTGATCATCAGGAAGGTTATTTTGTTTAAATGAACTTGATTCACAAATAGGATTTTGACGTGGATGTAGAATTTGAGGTTCATCTTCTTTATAGTTGTTATGCACGATCACACTCACCTCCTGGACGGTATAGCCGTCAGCGGACTTGGCAGAGTCGGACGACATGTTCGATAAATTTCGATATAAATTTTCTACTGTAGGGGTTTCCTCGAACATGTCTTCTGGGTCGCTTAAGCTTACGACCTTATTGATGAATGACATTTCTTCAGCTAAAAAATCTGCACTCGGAGGTAAGGGGGAATCTAAAATAAAATAATTATGTTGTGAATTACTGCTAAAATGTGCGTAAAATAAATTTTAGATTGATTTTGTTAGTAAATAAACTAACATAACATCACGCCTTTTATCCCTGAAGGGGTAGGTAGAGGTGCACACTACGATACTTAATGTCACTGTACAAAGAAACACCCACTTTCCACTATTTATAAGTCTCATGTGATATGGGTGAGCTTATTGCCATATACCGGGCACAAATCTAGACTCCTTGCTACTATTGAGTTTTTTTTTAAATCCAGTTATACTGTGCCCGACCCGGGAATCGAACCCGAGACCCCTTGGTCGCACTTGCGACCACTCGGCCAACGAGGCAGTCGTTATAAGTTAGGTACATTATTTTAATAATGATATATATTTACTAATTACTTGCTGATAGATTACCTCTAAGTATTACTAGGTGTTTAAAAAATTCTCAGTTATAGCACGGAGTCTGGAATTATGCCCGGTATATGGCAATAGGCTCACCCCCTATTACATGGGACTCATAACTAAATAGTGAAAAGTGGGCGTTACATTGTACAGTGGCATAATGTACACCTCTGCCCCCTTCGGGGATAAAAGGCGTAATGTTATGTTATGTTACCTAACTTATACCAGTTAATAACATAACAAAAACAACAAAACATCTGATGTGACTTTGTATACTGATACAAATGCATAATTTATTGAAAAAAGAACATAAATTATAAAATTACATTTCATTAATTTAGTTTAGTATGCTTACCTGGCTTTTCTATTAGTCTTTCATTTGTGAAACTATTTGTTTCATTAAAATCAGACGGTTCCTTAGTCCCGATACACATTGTCAAAGTTTGATCTAATTCTTCACATATTTCGCGTGATGGTACTGTCGGCTGATCTAAAATAAATCAAAATGAATGTGTTACTTCATTTTTAAATATATTTGCAAATAGTCGTAAAATTTTATTAAAACCACTATACAAAGTATGCGAGTAACCACTATGAACCTTGTATACTGGTACAAGTGAAAATACTAAAAACAACACGTAATTTATTTATTTTTTCATATATTTTATTAAACAATACAAAGTATATCATTATATTATTTAAAACGTCAATTGATACTTACCTTCGTAATTTTCTCGAGTGTTTATTTTACTATACCTATTTTCTAATAAATCTAACATTACTTGACCTCGTGAGCGCTTCATTGTTGAAACTTCTTAGCATTACTTTCTCAACACAAACAATATTTAATTAGTTTTTAACAAATAAATACAGAAACTGACACGCATTGCAGTTATATCAGTGTTTAACGTGCTCTCGACTCCGTCGCTGCGCGCATACTAAAGCGAATGACACTTGGACTGACGTGGCGCGGCGCACGCGACTACCTACACTGGTGCAAGTGACTTACATTAGTGTAGATGGTCGTGTGGTTGAAAATTATGTAACTTATGTTAGTTTACCAGTTTGTATCTTTGAAATTACTTGATAATTTAACGTAATTTTTACAGGATGTAAAGTTAAGATATTTTTAAGGCTTTTGGTGCAAAAAAACTTATTTTGCTGTTTTGCGGGTTACACCAGTATACGTAGGACCCGTCGTTATGTATGTATTACATATGTCTGAATCTTCAGACGAGAGGTGTAGTCATTTTACCAATGAGATATGGTACGTGTCTGTAAAATTATAGATTACATATTACGAATTATTAACTTAGTAAATGACACAGACATATCTATACAGTTCATCTGGGGTGCGGTGCCAGAAGACCTCCCCGTGGTGCACCCTGGGTGCGGGCGACAGTCTCCCTAGCGGGGGTGATAGGGTTGGAGTGACTGTCGCCCGCAGCAGACTTCTGGACTGGGCGGGCGAACCCGATAGGGTTCTGGAGGCGGCGGGCTGTGTGCGGAGGCTCATAGCCCGCGCTTCCGAGGGGCGTTTCTCCGCCCGTCTCTCTGGACATAGCAGAGAGCGTGGCGTAGAGGCAAGGGCGGTGCTCGTTGTGCACTCACCCTGCCAGCGAGCAGCGTCGGGACACAAGCTGTCCCCGATTGCAGCCGTCGATATCGTAACCCGTAAGGAGGTCACGGTCATGTTTTGTGACTCTGAACGGGACGAGGGTCTTGGCTTGGTCGCCCGGACCGCGAGGAAGATAACCTCTATAAAAAATTCCTCCAATACTAAGTTCTGGTGCGCGGCGAGAGTATGCATGGCTGAGGAGTAGTGTCAGTCGCGAGCGCACCCCCAGCTAGGGGACCAGTGGAACCTCTAGTTGGGAAACAAATGAACACTTACCCAGGTACAGGGGGCACTGCCTGGGTGGACCGAATATTTCCCCCATACTCGTGGGAACTGTATGGAGAAAGTAAAATCTAAAAAACAAAACCACAACTGTCGGAGGAGGAGAGTGCGGGTGAGCTTGGCTCACCTGCAGACGTAGTAGAGGGGAGCCCAAGGGGCTCTGGCGCCCGTGGGGAGACGCTGGACACATCTAGCATGCCCCACACACGGGCATCAATTACGATGGTGTCGGACCCTGAGTCCGACACATCACTGGCGGATCGGCTGAGCGTGAGCTCGAAGGGCTCACGCCGTCGCGTGACGGGGACGTTTAAGCGTCCCAGGCTGGAGGAGGACGCTTCGTCCCCGTCCTCCGGCGCGCAGGCGCCTCCCCCTAAAGTCCCAACGGCGGCGCGGGGTAGGGGCGGCAAGGGCGGCGGTCGCCGGAAACCGGCACCAGTTGCCTGCGTGGAGTCAGCCGAGCAGCTGGCTGCGGAGGGCAGGGCTCTCTCGAGCGCTGCCCGTTCAGAGTCCTCCGCAGCCGAGATGTCCGGCGTGGAGGTTTCGGAGGGCGAGTCGGGCTCCGAGAGCGCGAGCGGCTCCGGGCACCTCCGACAGGCCATCACGGAGGTGCTCCATAAACTGGCTATGGGGAAATCCCAGCCGGTTAGGCTCTCCCTCCTCAGGGCGGCGGTGGCCACTATTACGGAGGCAGCCTTGGAGCAGTGCGCGGTGCCCACTGCAGAAAAGGTGCGCTCCGAGCTGGGCGAGATGCGGCGGGAGCTGGCGCGCTTGGCGGCCTCCAATGCGGCCCTGGAGGCCGAGCTGCGGACGGCCAGGGCCGAGCTCGCCGCTGCTCGCGGCAGTCACCCCCAGCCCCCGGCGGAGTCCGACGTAGTCGGACTGCTGCGAGCGGAGATGGCTGCCTTCCAGCGACGTTTTGACGTGCTGGAGGGCAGGCTTTTGCGCCCCCCGCTCGCATCGAGCCGGGCCTCCCCGCCCGCGGCATCGGGCTCATACGCGGCTGCTGTGGCCAAGCCTCCGACCTCCACTGGTCAGGCTGGCCGCGGCCCCCAACCGCCGGCAAAGGCGCGGGCGCCTCCTCCCGCGAGGCCCTCGGCGCCCCCGCCGGCGCAGACCCCAGCTGCGCCGATGGCGCCTGCGCCCATGAGGCGCAAAAAGAGGAGGGACACTCCAGCCCGGCAAGCTGGAGTTGCAGCAGCGGCGGCGGAACCCGCCCCGCGAGTGGAGGACGGCGGCGGTTGGCAAATCGCCGGCGAGGCGAGGAGAGTCGCCAGGGAGGGCCGAAAGCGCCGCAAAAAGGCGCAGCGGCAGCGACGGCAGCAGCAGCGCAGGGAGAAACGCGCTGCTGCCTTGCTCCTCGCCCCTAAGACCGCGGCTGTAGTTATTACACTGCAGCCCGAGGCGGTCAATAGGGGCGTTACCTATGGTGACGTCCTCGCCAAGCTCAAGGGGGCGGTAACACCTGCGGAGTTCGGGGCCCCGGACGGGTTTGCGGTCAAGGTGACCGCTACCGGAGCCCGTCTACTGGAGGTCCCCGGCGCGGCCAGTGGCCCGTCGGCCGACGCCCTGGCTGAGAGGCTTAGGGCGTGCCTCGGGGCAGACGAGGCCCGCGTGTCCAGGCCCACCAAATGTGTGGATGTCCGGATATTGGGCCTGGACGACTCCGTCACGGAAAGTGAGGTGGTGGCCGCTGTGGCCAGGACGGGAGGGTGCCCTGCTGACCAGATCAAGGCGGGCACCATCCGTCCGGACAACTCGGGGCTGCGCACGGTGGTGGTGAGCTGCCCCGTCACAGCGGCCAAGAAGCTGAAGGAGGGCAAAAGGCTCTTGGTGGGATGGGTCTCGGCGCAGGTAAAGCTGCTCGAGACCCGGCCTCTGAGGTGCTACCGTTGTCACGTGGGGGAGCACGTGAGCGCCAAATGCACCTCAGAGGTGGACCGCAGCGACTGTTGCTTCCGCTGCGGTCGGCCCGGTCACAGGGCCGGCTCCTGCACTGCCCCGCTGCACTGCAACGCATGTGCGGCGGCTGGCAAGCCGGCCAATCACCGGGTCGGGAGCAAGGGCTGCTCCCCTCCTGCCAAACCCAAGGGCAAAGGTAGGCCCTCCGCCACCCCTGCCGTTTCCGCCGCCGCCGCCGCCACTGCCGCCGCAGTCGCCGCTGCCGCTACTGAGGAGATCGGAATGGACTGTCAATAATGGCTCCATTCCGCCTCCTCCAGGCGAATATTAACCACTGCGCCGCTGCTCAGGATCTCCTGCTCCAGAGCATGGCGCAGTGGTCGATCAATGTCGCCGTGGTCTCCGAGCCGTACTTTGTCCCGCCCAGGGATCACTGGGTGGCGGACCTGGACGGCTCGGTGACCATCATCTCATCGGCCGCCGCCGGTACCCCGACTCTTGAGGCAGCTCAAAGAGGCCGGGGTTGTGTCGCAGCACGGTTCGGAGAGCTCGCTGTGGTGGGCGTGTACTTCTCTCCGAACCGAACTCTCGCCGAGTTCCACAACTCCTTGATGGAGTTGGTCACAGTCGTCGTCGGGTTCCGTTCCCTCCCCGTGCTCGTCCTCGGGGACTTCAATGCCAAGAATTTGGCTTGGGGTTCCCGGTTCACCGACGTCCGGGGTAGGATGGTGGAAGACTGGGCCCTTGAGGCAGGCCTAGTCGTCTTGAACCGGGGTTCTGTCCCTACGTGCGTGCGGATGCAGGGCGAGTCGGTGGTGGACATTTCGTTCGCCAGCCCTGCTCTGTCACCACGTATCGTTGACTGGCGTGTCATGGAGGAGGTGGAGACGTACTCCGACCACCGGTATATCCGGTTCAACGTCTCCGCCGAGTCCGCGGATCCGCCGGTCAGACAGGCCCCATGTGGCCCGCGTTGGGCGCTGAAACAGCTGGACCGGGAGCTGCTCCTGGAAGCCGCCATCGTGCAGGCCTGGGTGATACCACCGGTCAGGCCTGCCGACATTGACGATGAGGCCAAGTGGCTCCAGGACGCCATGTCCAGGATCTGTGACGTGGCGATGCCCCGGATCCGGTCGAGGCAACAAAAGCGCCAGGTGTACTGGTGGTCGCAAGAGCTGGCAGCTCTACGCAAGGCGTGCACTGCTGCGCGACGCCAGTACACTAGGCACCGCAGGCGCCGTCTCCGTCCTCCAAATGCGGAGGCGAGAGAGGCGGAGTTGTATGAGGGATACAGGGCGGCGAAAGCCGTCCTCAAGGCGGAGATATTGCGGGCCAAGGAGGAGGCCCGCCGGGAGATGCTGGGGACTCTGAATAGAGACCCGTGGGGACGCCCGTACCGCATGGTACGCGACAAGCTTCGCGCTTGGGCTCCCCCGCTCACTCAGAGTCTCCGGCCAGAGGTCGTTGAGGAGGTAATTGGCGCCCTGTTCCCCCGGCTGTGGAGGGGCTTCACCCCTCCGTATATGACTCCGCCCCCTGCGGTGCCCGACGCGGGCTATAGCGACGACGACGACGACATCGTCCCAGAGGTGACCGAGGCAGAACTGAGAGCGGCGGTGCGCCGGATGGGCGCCAAGAACACCGCCCCAGGACCCGACGGCTTGCATGGCAAAGCATGGGTCCTGGCCTCAGAGGCTCTCAGGCCTCGATTAATCGGTCTCTACAGCGCATGCTTGGAGAGAGGCCAGTTCCCGCTGCTCTGGAAAGCGGGAAAACTGGTCCTCGTGCGGAAGACGGGGCGCCCTGCGGACTCTCCGTCCGCGTACCGGCCCATAGTGCTGCTCGACGAGGTGGGGAAAGTCTTCGAAAGAATCATTTCGAACCGCCTCGTCGCGCACCTGACGGATATTGGGCCGGACCTATCGGACGGCCAGTTCGGCTTCCGCAGAGGGCGCTCCACGGTGGACGCCATCATGCGCGTTAGGGACCGGACGACGGGGACTGCAGTGTCCAGGGGTAAGGTCGTAGTGGCGGTGTCTCTGGACATCGCCAACGCCTTCAACTCCCTGCCCTGGAGCTGCATCTTGGAGGCACTCCGATATCATCGGGTGCCTACCTACCTCCGTCGTGTAATCGAGGCATACCTGACGGACAGGTCCGTCATCTACCCCGGTCACCGGGGCGAGTGGAACCGGCGAGAGATGTCACGCGGTGTTCCACAGGGTTCGGTTCTGGGGCCGCTCCTGTGGAACATCGGTTATGACTGGGTGCTGCGCACCGACCTCCCGAACGGCGTTAGCATGATATGCTACGCCGACGACACGCTGGTGCTAGCGCACGGGAGGTCGCACCAGGCGGCGGCCGATTTAATGGCGACAGCGGTTGCGACAGTCGTTGAGAGAATCCGGCAGTTGG